ACTGTCCCCAAACAGTCCAAATGATGTCCTCAAACTGTCCCCAAACAGTTCAAATGATGTCCTCAATTGGTCCCCAAACAGTCCAAATGTTGTCCTTAAACTGTCCAAATATCGTCCTCAAACACTTCAAACACTGTTCTCAAATAGTCCCCAAACAGTCCATATAGTGTCTCCACACTGTTTTCCCCCTGGTTGTTTCTTAGCTCTGTTTTTTGTCGGCAGTTTGGTGTCGGATGTGGTCGTTTTTAACTCACACTTCAACATGGACTCCTTCCTGTCCTCCATACGATCGTTCATGAAGAAGATCCCAGACCACCGACCCAAAGACCTGGAGCAGCTAATCCGTCCTAAGTGTGTAGTTCTAAGCTACCCGATCCAGTTCCCTGATGTAAACAGGTCAGTGAGATCTACTTTCTCATGTTGTTCAGTTTTTAATCACAGAACTCAAATATGAAGATGGTCCACAGCATGATCCGGTGTTCACACTGGTTCTGATGGGGTTTGTGTCTGTTCTGGTGCAGTTTCTGTAGTTTTTGTTGGTATTCTGACAGTGATGACATAATCACACTTCAACAATGCCTTCATGGAGGTTTTTCCACCGCAGACACTCGGTTAATTTATCAAATCTACGCCTGGATCTGGTTTCTCAAAATCCTCCTCAGTCAGCTTGAGCCTGAAAGATGGAGACTGAGAGAAGCAATTCATGTCGTCAAAAAAAAAACCCATCCTTGTTCAAGTGTCTGCTCTGAAATCCACTCATGTCCTTAGTCCAACTGTGGTTCTGGTTCTGTTTTTCAGTCTGCTGCCTGAGCACAAACGAATGAGGTGTCTTCAGGGCTCTGCAGAGACGTCTCGGGCTGATGACATCATCACTCCGCAGCACGCGCAGCAGACATCCAGGTAATCTCTTCAAAGCAGCAGCATGCCGAGTCTCGTCATGTGTTCATTAAACCTGGTGGTTCTGACCCAGCAGGTCTGAGGAAGATCTCTGTAAGTGCACTAGTGTGTCCAGCACCGTTCTGACACCTGTCAGGGGGGCGGAGCCTTCAGACGAGGTGAAACCTCTGCACATTGTCTGGCCTCACAGATGGTGAGTTCTACTTCCTGTTTTTTTTTTTTTTTCAGCTGTTTTTTACATTATGTTTTTAAAAAGATTCTTCAGAACCTGATGAAGGATCATCATGAGCCCATCCTGAGCAAACACATGCAGGGTGCGGTGAAATAGATCTTCAGCTGTCCGAAGGATATCCTTTTGGCACTTTGAGGACATGATCTTATTTTGGTTCTGGTTTCATGTGTCAGTGATCTGCAGCATATTTATTCTGCTAATCTCTTAAGAAGTTAATCTGCTGCAGATTTCACGCACCTGTCAAACACGTTGAACACATCGACACCTCGCTGCCGGAGTTAACGGCCCAGAGGCCAGAACCCAAACTGAAAGTGGTTCCACGAGAGAGCAGCCTGATAATTGACATGTGTTGGTGTAAATTCTCAGTTATCCAGAATAAAGCAAATCCAGAATGTAAAAAAACAAACAAACAAAGCAACTGGACTGGAGAGAAAGGTGAAGTCAGACGTTTTAGTCCAAGGAAAAAAGAACGACTTTAGGAGTTCTCACAGTTCAGCTTCTAAAACCTGCAGAGCAGCATTAAAGCTGACTCCAGTCACTTTCTTTGATTCACACCTTCATGCAGGTGAGTAAAACATCTCTCTGTGAGCCAGGCTAACAAAGACCGTGATGACCCTCAGGAGGGAGGGGAGGGAGAATAATCTGCACGTGAGTTCAGCTGCAGAAATTGAGCCCCTCTTACTGTTTAAAGCTTGGAACTCCACACTCTCACTCACACATGCAGAGCAGAGATCAGCTGATCAGCTGCTGCAGGAAGAAGCTTCTCCTCCAGCTGTGGGCTGCACAAAGGTGCTAAATAATTTAAAATAATTTATTTTAAATAAAAATTACATGCCGATCGCGTGGCTCATCCATCAATCAGCCAACTGTGTGTCATGTCCAATTTTATTTTGAAAAACCGCGATAGAGCGAGTCTGTGAAAAGTGAACCGTGAAGTAGCGAGGGACGACTGTAATTCAGGTCTAATTGTTTTTTTGTTTTTGGATCTGATAACTTCATGCTCTGCCTCTTCCTACGTTTAGAGACGGTAAAACTGCACTCAGGTTTGAGCTTTAGTGACTTGTTCTGGTGGCAAAAAAGTCTTCATAACATTTTTATCACGTGATAAATAACCTATCCAGGTAAAAAACAAAACAAAAAACAGGTTGTTTTCATTAGAACTGGAGGCCAAATGTGGATAAATATTTGTGGATAAATATAACAGTATCATCAGCATATCAATGAAAATTTATCCCATGCTGTTGTGTAACTTTTCAGAATGTGAGCATTTATAATATAAAGAGTCTTGGTGTCCCAGTGTGAGGTTTCTCTGGTTTAATTTTCTCACTTGTTGGTTTTTCTGGTTCTTCCGTTCATTTCTGCTGCCTGTCATTTCCTTCACTTGTGTTTGGCTCCCTCTTCCAAGGTGTTTCTATTCCCCTGAATAGTTGTGTCTGTATATGTTTGTGCTCTGTCCTTCACTCCCTGTTCGTGCATTATGTTTACGATGTGTTGTGGGCTTCTTCTGTCTCCTTCGTGTTCTCCCCTCCTAGTGCATAGATTTCCAGGCAGGAAGCCCTGAAGAGTCTTCTGTTTAATAAATATTTTTGTTACATCCTCATCTGCGTTTTAAGTCTGTACGAGTCACCTTCCAAGCATGGACCTTACAATTGGTCCAAGCACTGAACCCTGAGGAACTCCATGACTAACTCTGGTGTATGAGGAACATTCATTATTAACATGAACAAACTGGAATCTATTAAATAAATATAATTTAAATCATATAGAGATGTTATTGTAGATCCAGTATGAGAAAGATTCACTGACGTCTGACTGGATCTCCTCCTCCTCCTGTGGTTTTGTTTTAAAGGGAACATGATAAAAACCCAGAGCTGTTCTTCAGAACTCTGCTCAAACTCAAGGAGCAACAGCTCAACTTCCATGTGTCGGTGCTTGGAGAGACGTTCACAGATGTTCCAGGTACACGCACAAGAAACACACTGTAAACACACAAACACATTGTAAACACACAAGAAACGCACTGTCAACTATTTACAGACAGGTCATGTGATCTAATTAGCTTATTTTAAAGGTGGAACGGAATGATGGTGTGTTTGTATCCTCCTCCTACAGAGATCTTCTCCTCCTCTCGACACCTCCTTGAGTCAAATATCCTTAACTGGGGCTTCCTATCCAGTAAAGAGCAGTACCTGCATGTGCTGTCTAATGCTGACGTGGTCATCTCTACCTCCAACCATGAGTTCTTTGGCGTTGCCATGTGAGTCTTTACCTGCTTCACCTGCATATTTGCCTGTTTACTTGTCCATGTGTCCAAGAGGTAAATCTAGTTCCCTGGTAAACATTGACCCAGTTATTAGTAAACATGGCATTGTTTACTGGTTAACCATGGCCAGGTTATTGGTTAATATCGGCCTGATTATTGGTGAGCATAGCCCTGGATATTGGTTACCATCACCTTGGTTTTTGGTGAATGTTGCCCCAGTTATCAGTAAACGTTCATCGTATAGCGTAGTGTGTCTTACATCGGAGAAATTTAACAGCCACTGGCCAAAATGATGGCCCAGCACAAAAGATCAGCATCATCAGGCCAGGACTCTGCAGTTTACACTCCTCTCCAGGCCAGAGGTCACTCTTTCAAGGATGAAGATGTTCACATCTTTGATAGAGAGGAACGTTGGTTTGAGAGAGGAGTAAAGGAGGCCATCTTTGTGAAAAGAAACTGTCCATCATTAAACAGAGGTGGAGCCTCCATGTTCAACTGTCCCCCTCTTACAATGCTGTCATTGCTAGGCTGATGGTCCTCCTTTATCATATGACCAGTTGGTTCTAGATGTCACCATCAAACTGGTTGGTCCACTATGAGAAGGTGCTGTTTATACGATTGAGTTGTTGCAGCTCTTCAGACTGAAGAAGTTTTTTTGTATAAAAGACAAAACGTTTCATCAAGAAGAATCCGTCCAGAGGAGCTGACTCAACCTGGTTAGATTTATTTAGTAAAGTTTTCTCTGGTTTCCATGTTTTTAGAGGATCTTGTGTTGATCCTGTTTCAGGTTGGAGGCTGTACACTGCGGTTGTTTCCCTTTGTGTCCGAAGGCGTTGGTGTATCCTGAAATCTTCCCAGGTAAATCTGTCACGTGTCTTTTTTTCTGTCTGCAGTGCTTGTACTCCACAACTAACTGTTCTTTATGTGTTTCAATCACAGAACCGTACCTATACTCCACACCTGAGCAGCTCTGTAAGCGTCTGCAAGAGTTCTGTAAAAGACCCGGTCTTGTCCGCAAACACACCGTCAAGGTACCGGCACTGTCGCTTGATTATGTTCTTGGCAAAAAATGAGGCATATTGGGTAACAGCCAGTAAAACTGGTTTTGGTTCCACAGGTAGACACATTCTTATTTTCCTGGACCTTCCTGAAGCCAAAGTTTCAGACTTTGCTTGCAAGTCCCTGAACGCATCATGAGTTTGGGGTCCTGTAAGGTTCTGGTAAGAGCTTGTCTGGATCATCAACGATAGAGTGTTAGGCATGTTACTGTAATTCACACCTGCGTGTGACCAGAACACGTCTGCTGTGAGCCGGGGCAATAAAGAGCCTGAAGACCCTCAGGAGGGAGGGGAGGGAGCTTCATTTGCAGCGGCAGACACGGCGCGTCTCATGCAGCTTAAAGCTTGGAACTCCACACTCTTCAGTTTACGAACTGAAAGAAAATACGGATGGAACACAAAACATCTTGTACTAAAGAAAAGAGATCCAGATGTTTTGATTTTAAAGACGTCAGATGTGCTGCGTCCAAATGTCAAAACACATTAACTCTTATGGAGTTACACGTTTTCTATAAGATTTTTTTCAAGATGCAGATGGAGTAATGAGGAAAACTGTGAGGCCATTACAGGAAGAAGAAACAACACGAGGCTGCTTCGGTGCGTTAAAGTGAACAGAACCTGAGGAAACTTCAACGAACAGGACCTGCTGTTGGGCCACAGCGGACTGCTCTTAGGTTGGAGTGAGAGAAACAGAACCGGGGCGGTTTCTTCACCAACGAGCAGCAGGATGATGGTTGTGCAGCGCTGTGGTTGCGATTCTGACACCTGCAGCATCGAAGCCCCAAGTCCTCCTGCTGACGTCTCTGACCCGCAGCCCGGTAAACCCTCAGAACGAGTCCTTCTGCAGAAATGTGGGTTTAAAACTCAGATTACCAGAACCAAACCAAACTCCTGGGGTCATCACCTCATTGTCACCTCTCTAATAAATAAACTTTCTTTGTGTTTGTTCATTTGTTCCTCTACTGAGCTGACAGAACTGTACCTAAGCTGAACTGTCCTGTTTAACAGAACCAGTTAACAGACTGTTGATGTCTAAATAACTTTTTACTGTTTATTCTTATTTATAATTCTTTATTGTCCGCCGTCACGGAGCAAAAAGGGGGGAAACTGGAAGAACCCTCTGTCCATCTGTGCACATTGTGAGCGTGATAACTTGAAAAGTGAGGTCCCAACTTCCATTTTGGTGTGGCTACGCCATACCTACGCCATACCTACGCCATACCTACGCCATACCTACGCCATACCTACGCCATACCTACGCCATACCTACATGTGTATGAAAGAGTTGCCACATCAAAATCCAAGATGGCTGCCACCATATGTGAACAAACCACCCTGAACGTTTGAGGAGACTATGCTTTCTAGGTTTTTTTTATTGCTTATATAGTTTAAGGGGAGTGGTGGTGCAGAGGTTAGAGAAGGTGTGCCTGTGATCAGAAGGTTGCCGGTTCAACCTCCTTCCAAGGGCCCAAGATTAATCCATGGTGGGCACGGCCACCATTAGCTACCCCAATCATTTTAGAAACCTATATAACTACATAAACAAATAAAACAGCTGTTGGCCCTGTGCCTGCTGGTTGGCAAACAAGAAAAACAACCTCTAACTCCTCCCCAGTTGAATATCTTGCACCAAAAACATTTAGGTTTCTCCACGTTCCTCGTTCACTTGTAGTCCAGAAAAGCACTCCTGTCCAGAACTACAAACGTTCACTATTGAAACGCCTCAGAGATGGGGGGGGGGGGCATCGGCGTTCTGCTTGTTCATATGAACTTGTTCTTCGATACGCTGGTCGTTAAAGGTTTGATCAGGTTCTCGTGAACTTTCTGCAGAAATGATACTAGAAGCTCCAGCATCCATCAACTTCCTGTTTAATAATTATGCTTTAACAGATCTGTGATCTTTATTCTGAAAGTCCAGGTTCAAACTTCTTCCTGTTTCCTGCTGACACTGACTGAATCATCAACGTCTGATTAGAGGCAACATGAAATCTGAGATTATTCAGGATAAATGTGGAAGGATCCATCCAAAGGAAGCAGAGGATCATGGGTGTTGTAGTTTTTGGATGTTGCTTGTGGGCACGTCTGCAGCAGATAATCTGTTGACAGAAAGTTTGTGATCAGGATGAGGATTTCATCAGACGCTCTTCATCTCAGAGTGCCACTCTGCAATCTCCAAACAGGGAGATTAAAACAGGAATTACACTTTAATCTGAAATAATCCACCGAACTCGGACACTCGACAGCAGTCATCCTGAGGTCCAGCAGCACCGTCAATCAACACCGGATTACCCTTCAAATTAGCACCGCAACGTTTTGTTAATTTGTGTCACGGTTGATTAATCTGCCATCTGAAGATCCAAGTGGGATTAAACTCCACTTCCTCTGAGACCCAGACAGTTCAGCTGCTTCTGCTCTCTGAGGTCTGATCAGTCCTCTGGTCCTGAAGTGGATGGACATCAGATCCCTGCAGGAAGTGAGGTCACAGCGATGAGCGGCTGATATTAGGCACCGCTGGGGTTCAAGTTCTGTTCCACTTTCCTGTTGGGTCGGTCTTCCTGTCTTGAGAATCTGTTTCCCGTCCTCTGAAACGGGATCCACCTGAGAGCAAAAATCAATTTAGGGAGGATTAACGGACGATTTCTGCTGCTGGCGACCCGATTGGACCTATTCCTGAACTCCAAATGTTTCAGAGTCTTTACACCTTAGAACAGATCACAGGAAGTTTTGTTTTTATTTTGTCCAAGAGCAAAAAATGCAGAACTGGAACATGGATGTGGGACTGGTGGCTGTGTCTAATGCCTGGAGTTCAAACAGTCTCCTGATAATAGACATGTCCATCAGGAATCATGATTATCAGATGCAACAGCAGGTCGTAGACACATCCAGTAGAGACCATCATTACCAAACCTGAAGACAGCCTGAACTCCAGGTATTAGACACATCCATCAGAATGCATAGCTTCTGATGGATGTGTCTAAGGCCTTGTTTACAGGAGAACCACCTCTGGAATGTTTGTTTATTGGGATGAATAAACAACAAAGCAGGTTTACATAAAAACACTGTAGTTTCCATGCGTTGCCAGATAAGAAATGATGAACTATTGTCTTGTTGCATTAAAGTGATTGCATTTTGACCCAAACTGTGCTCTGTGCTGAGTGAGGTGGTGCTTTTGAACGTGCACAGAAAAGAAGGGGGTAATAAAACATGTTTATCTGGCAACCCTGATGCTAGGTACAGCTGTATGCAGTGTCATGATCACAGTTCCATCCCATCAAGTAAATACTGGAGCATTCTTTTGGACCGAGGATGTTGTTGGTTTTGTTCTTGCATGCTGTAAAAAGGTGAGTAGCACAAAAAACACTCTGCTGTCCATTTATTGAAACTGTTGGAGCAGAAAAACGTCTGACTGCAGCCGCCTGGAGTGCACGTATGTGCCTTCACACCTGTGGGGTATTTAACACCCTTGGGGGGCTCTCTGAACACCTCCGCTCAGACCAAGGTTCAGAAACCTTCGGTTTTAAAGCGAACAAGCTGTTAAAGCCGTTGTGTAAACCGGGCCTGATGCCTGGAGTTTGGGTTGGTTCTGATTTGTTTTTAAACAGAACCATTTCGTTCATGAAACACTGTTCACAGTGTGTGCGGGGGGGTCAGGGCCCTCATGGGGGGCCCCTCAGAAACTGATCTGGAAACGAGCACGTGGACCGTTGATCCAGGACACTTTCCCCGATGCTGGTGTGTGAACACTGAGGTCCGTCCCGTTGGATCAGCGCCGACCGCTGGCTCGGTTTTATCTCTGATGGTCGCTGTGACATCACACCTGATCAGGTGTCGACGCCACGGCTGCAGAGGTGGAAGACGGAAAGGAAAGGAGGAGGGGAGTATTTACACAGCTGCTGTTCTTCATCCTCACTCCGACGCTGTGACTTCCTGTCACTCAGACCTCCGAGGGCCTCAGAGCCCCGGGGCCGTCCTGCTGGAGGAGGAGCAGCAGCTGACCTGGGAGCAGGTGAACGAGGGGCCAGTGGAGAAAAGTTCCAGTGGAAATAAAGACGTCAGACGAGTCGGCGGCTCTGGTGCAGAGATGTCCAACATCAGAACACGGCTGAGTTAGACACAAGTTTAACAAAATTAAAGGTAGAGGTTTTAAATAAATTAGACTCAAGTGAAAAAAAATAAAAAGTTTTAAGTAAATACATTAGACCAAAGTTATAATTAAATAAGTTAGGCAAGTTTTAAATAAATAAAATAGACACAAAACAAAAAAGGTTTTAAATAAAAACAGAATTAGACCAAAGTTGTGAATTAAAAGAAAAAGCTTGACAAGTTAAGACAGAAGTTTTAAATAAAATATCTAGTTTGAAGTTTAAATAAATAATTGGGGTATAAGTTTTAAATAAATAAATTAGAAGTTTTAAATAAACAGGTTTTCAAAAAAAATTAAGAGTTTTTTCCAATAAATTCGAAATGAATTAATGACACATTAAAAAAAAAAAAAGGAGTTCAACTGAAGTTATAAATAATTAAATTTTACCCAACACGGTGGAGCAGTTGGTGGAGCTGCTGCCTCTCAGCGAGTAAATCCTGGTCCGGGGGCCTTTCTGGGTGGAGTTTACATGTTCTCTCCGTGCTGCGTGGGTTTCCTCCCACAGACCAAAAACATGCATGTTAGGCCAATTGGTAACTCTAAAGTGTCTCTAGGTGAGAGAGTGAATGGTGGTTTGTCTCTGTCTGTCCCTGCGATGGACTGGAGACCTGTCCAGGTGTCCCCCGCCTCTTGCACAGCGACTGCTGGATATGGGCACCAGTGACCCCAGTGACTCGAAAAGGAAGAAGTTTTTAATAAATTAGACATTTGAAATAAATAAATTGGTTATACGTTTGAAATAAATAGAAGTTTTAAATAAATGCCTGTACATTTAGGATTCATTTCAACATTATTGTATTTGTTTTTAAAGGACTCGCCCCATCCTACCTGTCCGAGCTACAGCCCTTCACCTTCGGTCCCTCAGGTCGGCTGATCAGCCGAAGTGTGCCTGAGACATGATGATTTAGCAGCTCCTGAATTATGGGATGGCATCAGACAGGCCTCGTCCATGTCTGTCTTTAAATCCCTTCTTAAAAACCATCT